CTTGGGAGTCTATTGTTACCGTTTTCTACAGTGTATGGCTTTTGCTTTTAAACAATTTAAGTTTAACTTTGAGTCACATTGAGAAGTCTTAGTGCAAGTCACAGGTTCTCTTAATATGATTTTAGAAATTTATAGATATAGGTTTTAGAATATAGTTTATATAGATTAAGAAAATGTTAGCAATCATTTTATTATAGAAGTGTGGTTAGTTCAGTTTGATTCAGGGGGAGCCAGTGAAGTTTGAATTAGGCTGGCTGGTGCTAGGAGAGTGTAACCATAGCACCAACTGTTTCATAGAAACTAGTTTGAATTAGCATAGAATAGTAAAAGGTAATATATCATTATGTTGGTTTCGGGTGTAAGCATTGAATGATGTTATGTAGCTATAAACAATTAAGGGTACATAGAAACTGGATAAGAACTTCATGTTTGAAAAATACATCTGCTTGAGAGTGGGGGGTGTCCTGTGTGCACCTGGACCTGGTCATGTGAAAGGCACATGCTACCTTTTGTGTAACCATAGCAGCAGGAGTTCCCATGATGATAACTTTGCAGAGTTTGGTGATAAAAGCCCTGGGATTACACCCATTAAACCGCTTCTGGTCACTTGACAGTAGTCCAGTCTCTTTCTTTCTCTCCCCTCTCCTTCTCTTTATATCTATTCCTCCAGCTTAAAACACTGACACCGCCACACCTATCAAGGCACCCCTGATCTCCGCAGGGGCAGGACCCCTGAAATGAACTATGTAGCCTTGGTGGAAAGGTGGAGGTTAGGCATGAGTTTGCAAACATCATCGTTCCCTTACCAAGAATTACTTGGCTACCACTACTGTTAAATACCTACTGATTACACACTGAGTCATGACATGGCACCTTATGCAGAGGTGAGAATTCAGCCACCTTACAACAGGTAGAGTATTTTGGACTTATTCCAAGGAAAAGGCAATGATTCATTCTCACTGGAGGATATATATTCTGGATGTGAGTTTGGCTTCCTCACTTCTAATGTTTCAGCAAGTTCAACCACTTATAAACTCAGACTGCATTATTCAATACCATGGTATTCAGTAAGCAATATGACCTGTCATAGCAGCGAAAACTAAGAGATTGATTTTTGGGAAAGAGTGAGAAATGAATTTGTATGAATGCATTTAACTGTGTTTTATTGTGTGGAACAGAGTTGTCTTGTTGTTTTATGGAAATTTAAATGTGTTGAAAGACGCATATCAACTAAGTAGCCAAGGTGGTAGACTATACTAATTATCAAATTATTTATTTATTTTAGAAAGCAAGATTTATTGAGAAAACAGAAAAGCTTCCTCAGTGGGAGGGGACCTGAGGGGGTTGCCCAAGAAATTTCATCTTTAAGACAAAAATAAATATTAATATAAACAGGGACATATAAAATGATGAGATTTCTATCAGAAAAATAATACAGTCACAATCTTTATAAAACTCATTACAGAGCTTCAAAATATGTAAAATGTAATTTGGGAAGAGTTAAGATTGAAAACAATATTGGCTCTTTCAAGCCATAAGCATCACTCATAACTCATTTGACATTTAATACAATTTATTTATTTAATCTTTAATTTCTCTTATAAGTAATTTGTCATTTTATTGTAGAGGTGCCATAGTTTTTTTTAGAATGTTTATCTTCAAGGATTTAACATTGTTAGTGCTAATGTAAATAGTATGCTTTTAGCTATTCTAGTTCTTAAATCTTTTGCTTTTACATAAAATGAGGTACTCGTATATTGACTTTATATCCAATGTATTTTCTAAATTCACTTGGTAATTGTAATATTTTATCAGTAGATTCTTTTGGATTTTCTGTGTATATGCTAGAGTTATTTTTGAATAGAGATTCCTTTTAAAAGTTTACTTTTTTGTATCCATATTTATTGACTAGAATTCCAAAAATATATGTTAGCGATAAATGTGATGTTAGTAACATAATGTTATAATGTTAATGATCAGTATCCTTAACTTCCTCACAATATTAGGAGGGGAGACCACAAAATTCAATATTTATTATGTTGAATGTTGTACATGTTTTGTTGATTTCTTGAAGTCATATTAAGAAACTTCAGATTTATTCCTAGTACTTAGAAATATTTGTGTGTTCTCTGTGTGTGTATGCTTATAATTTGGGAAATTGACTTGAAGTTAATAAAATAGTTTGACTATTTTAGATACCTCATATAAGTAGAATCATATAGCTTTTGTCTTTTTGTGACTGGCTTATTTCACTTACCATGATGTTTTCAAGTTTCCTGTTAAACAATATAACAAAATTTCCTTCTTTCTTCAGGCTAAATACTCCCTGCCATGTTTTTTAATCCATTTTTGCTAGTCACAAGAAAGACTGAAGTTATGGCTTCCTATTTGCTGAACTGCAGTGAAGAAACATCTAAACATTTTTATGAGACACTTTTTACGTATAATTATTATTGCTCTTTAAGTTATAGTCCATGAAGATATTTAAATTCTTCTTAGAGGAAAAGTGTCTTTTTATAGAAATATTTCTATTTAAGTGTTTATACTTCTTGTTAATGATTCTGAATGTGTTTTTTCATTCCTGATATTACTAATGTGTGCCTACAAGATGTTTCTCTACCTTGAGCATGTTCTAAAAGGTTTGTTAATTTTATTGATTTTTCTCAAATAACTTTGGGTTTGTTTGTTCTTAATAGTGTAGTTTTCTTTATTTTTTTCTCTTTTCTATATTATTTCCTATGATCAACTGCTTAAAAAATGTTAAAAGGTTAACTTTTAATTTTCCCTTAAGTTACTTCAGATTGCCTCTAAGCAAGGCCTAGTTACGTCACTTATTTTTCTATAATACTTATTATATAGTATACATTTCAAAGTATATTCAAATTTCCATGGACTATTCTTTTATCCATGGATTGTTTGAAAATGCATTGATTTGTTAAAATATTTGGAGATGCTCATATTTTTATAAATATATAAAATATTTTTATTATAAAGATGTGGGTTACAATTCAGGGTTAGGTATACAAATGTTATGCAAGTACCCATGTTGATGAGGTGTGCCCCTCCCTCCCCTAGCAGTATTCCTCAACTGCCAATCCCATTCCCCCTTCCCTGACAGTTTCCCATTATACCAATCCCTTTCTTGTAGTGGTATAATTGTTCAAGGTCCGCTTATGAGTGAGAACATATGGCACTCTGTTCTTTATTTCTGTGATAGATCACTGAGTATGATCAACTCTAAATCCATCCAAGTTGCTGCAAAATCCATGTTTGTCCTTCTTTGTGGCTGCATAATATTCCATTGTGTATATGTACCACAGTTTCTTTTATCCAGTCCAGCTTCAATGGGCAGCATGGTTGATAAAAATTATTTATCTTAAATTTTTTTTTTTTTTTTTTTTTTGAGTTGGAGTCTTACTCTGTCACCCAGACTGGAGTGTAGTGGCTGCTCCCGGTCACTGCAGCCTCGACCTGCTGAGCTCCAGCAATCCTTCCGCCTCAGCCTTCCAAGTAGCTGGAACTACAGGCGCATGCTACTAACGCCCGGCTAATTTTTTGATTTATTGTAGAGATGAGGTCTTGCCAAGTTGCCCAGGCAGGGATCAAACCCACGGGCTCAGGCAATCCACTCACCTCAGCCTCCCTAAACGTGGGATTACAGGCTGAGCCACTGAGCCCAGTTTATCTTAAATTTAGTTAGAGAATATAATCTGAAATATTTCAGTTTTCAGAAACTGGTTACACTTGCTTTATACTCAAGCATGTGGGATATGTCAGTTTATCTTTCATATGTACCTAAAATGCATATTTTGTAACAGTTGAATATAGTGTTCTATGTATCATGCAGATAATTTTTGTCAATTATGTTGTTCAAATACCATACTATATTTGATTTTTTAAATTCTCTTTTTTCTATCAATTTTTGACTCAGACATTATTATAGTTTCCTATTAAATTGGCCCTTTGCTTTATGATGCATTCATCTTTTATTTCTGCTAATGCTGTCAGAGTTAAAGTCCATCAGCTTTCTTTTGTATGCAATTCCTGTCATATATATTTTTTACCCTTTACTTTGAAACTTTATATACCTAAGAATGCACCTTTTATCAGCAGTCTATAGTGAAGAAATTTTTCCAAATCCTAGATTCATTGTCTTTTGATTGGTTAAGAACCATGAGACTGTAATATAACATACCATTGTAATTTAAAATATAACAGTGGTCTTTAATCATGGCATCATCTTTATTACATTTTGACCTTTTCTTATATCATGTCCCTAATAATAGAATCAGTTCCTACTAAGAGAAATATTGTGAGATAACTTTAAAAGCAAGCAATATGTAATGTAAAACTTATACATTTCTTACAAATAAATTGCTGTGGAATTACATATACATTCACATACGTGTGTGCATGTAGTTTATATATTTGTATACACATATAAGCTATCTTCTCTGGTCAGATTTTTAAAAAATTACAACATGCAGGTCTGAGTCCCAGTAGATCAGGTAATGTACATTCTTTCATTTTTTTCTGTCCATTGAAGATAATTACTCTGGAAAAATGAATAAATGATAAAAAGTCAACTTTATGACCAAGTAAAGATAATAGCTAATTCAACAAATATCATGCAAGTAACTTTACTATGAAGTAGACATATTATGTAATTTATGTCTAATTAGCATTTTAGATATACAAATGCTAACAGAGTAAACCTAATTAGAGAAAATAATTAATATGATAACACTGTAAGACATATTTTAAATGACAACTTGCGATGTCATTTAAAAGTTTATCATATCTATTATAAAACTTAAATTTCTGAAAAATATTATCCAATTTATTTTATTATATACAAGTATATGACTACTGCTATTTAATATATAATTGTATTATTTGCATTTGTCTAATACATTACAATCTCTCTCTCTTTCGCTCTCTCTTCTCCTTAAAATATATTTGAAACTCACTGTGATGTCTTCGAATCTCTGATGTTCACACTACTCTGTAGGCTCACTCTCACTTTCCAGTTGCCTATATATTTAAAACAAAAATAAAATTATATTTTCTTTAATATTTTGTCACAAACCTCTATACTATCAGTATTGAAACAGAAGTGAATTCCTTCTTGAGATTAGGGCACAGTTATTATTTGAGAATACCCCACTATACTGAGAACACCTCTTCTCTGGTAATCAAGACTAACAATGTACATCTTTTCAACATCAAATAAGGGATAGCATAATAACTATGTTTCTCTGGAAATAAGCTCAGATCATTTTAATATTCATAATATTCTTTGTTAAATATATTTAAACATTTTTTGCCATTCATCTTTAGCCCTGTTTATTTCTATTAATTTTACTGGTGATGTACCTCACATCTTTAAAATAAATAAAAATAAATTTTAAGAAAAACAATTATTGCCAAAAAAAATTTGCTGGTTGCTTTTTTTCCCAAAAAACATTTTATATCTGCTTTTCTACTATAGTTATCCAATATGAAAATTGAAATATATAAGAAAATTACTTTTATATTAAGTGCTGATTGAATTATAATTATTTTATGCACTGCATATTATTTTACAATTTTGCATCAACTTTAAAAATATATTCTCTTTTCATGTATATTCTCTTGTTAATTAAATTAAATATTTTAATGAAATTCAATACTTTTTAAATAAAATGAAAGACATAGGTATAAAATTCATAAGCAGAAATTATTTTATAGCAATTTCCTTGAGAAGTAAAACAGTTTTATTATTTGCTTTTATTTTTGTAGTATATTTTTAGATATTTTTATTTGTAATGAAAATTATTTGTTTCATGGTTTCTTTAGATTAGCCATAGGTGTACTTTTCAATCTTATTATTATGTATTAATTTTTAATCTTTTCTACCTCTGACGGAGTGTGTCTCAATTGAACTAACAACAAAAATGCCAAATGACTTTCTTGCATGCTTCTACTACCTTTTTTAAAAACACCGTTCAAATTTCTTAAAATATATAAATAATAAGGTAATAATGTTTAATACATAATTAATAATTAAGATCAAGTAATAAAATAAAGTAGATACACTTTAGAAATCCCTTCCATTTAATTTTGTCCCTAAAATAGTCCAAGTTCTAAAATTAAAATTGCTGGCCTTTATAAAAATTGATAATTATTTATTATTTTAACTTTTAATATATTACTAAATTCTAAAATAAAGACAAAAATTAAACCTAAATTATTACTAGTTACATCTACCATGATATTATACTCATATATTGACTGACTATACCAACACATTCTAAAAGTGACAAATCTAAAAATAGCATCAATATACTCATCGCTTGAGTAGTTCTCAGTTCTTGATTTTTTCCTTTGGAAATGAACTTTCACCAGTAGGGCAATCACTACACAGAGCACAACGAAAAAAGGGAAGAGTAAGAAAAATGGCCATCTTGGTCTGGATTCGCGAGCATTCTCAAAGGAGCGTCCTAGGTGAGAAAAACATCAAAGATTTTAAAGTAATCATAAAGAATAGTAAAGATATTGCTGTATTTTACTAAGATGATCAGAATAACATCTTTAAACAATTTAATAATTTTACATTTGACATAATTGTATATGAAGTAGACAACTCGACAGCATAAGTGCCCCAAAAGACTCTTCTAACTCTGAATAGTAGTCTTATCTGTTGCTTTTTACTTTTTTTAACTGAGAAACTTCTTTTTCTGGTAGTCTACTTTGAAGACTGTCTGATAACATCAATGAAAACAATTAAAATGTACTTCCTATAAGAATTGAGTTTTTCCTCAATATTTTACTTTTCGTAAGAAATACTGTACATCTTGTCCCTAAAATAGTCCAAGTTCTAAAATTAAAATTGCTGGCCTATATAAAAATTTATCAAGTCCAAATTATCTCTTCTTTTATTGCATTGATTTGTGTTTTCAGGTCTCATCAAAGAAAATATTGATAATTTCAAGGTCCTGAATACTTTCCAAATATTTCTTTCTAAAAGATTTTTAGTTTGAGCTTTACATTGAGATGTATGATTCGTCTTAAGTCTTAAGCATCTTGGGATTTTGAGATTCGTTTAGTTTTCACTATCTGGTTGTGTCACTACAATATTTTTAATTGACTTTTTTATTGGACTATCATTGTACTTCTTTTTGAAAAATTGATTAGTCACATTTTAATGAGCATATTTCTAAACGTCGTGTTGTATTCTATCAACATCCTTTATCAATGATACATTATTCTGATTAGTATACTATGTCTATATTATATTATTTAGTAATTGATTATATGGCAAATAGACTAATTCATCCTTCTTTGTTTTTTTCTCTTATTTGGCTTTGTTGTTTGGCTCTTCTAGCAATTTTGTGTGTATGTTAGGATGAAAATGTTAAATTTCCAAAAAGTTGTATTCTACTGCAATTGGTATTTTCAAATCTATAGACTTAAATTATAAATTTAATTAATTATAATTAATTTATAATATAGATTATAGATTATATAATATACATAGGTTCCATAATATACATCTATAATCAAATTAATTATAGATTTAATTTGATGACAATTTATATACTAGCACTAATGAACCTTTCAATAGGTGAGCATAAAATATTTCTACATTTATTTGGATGGTTAATATCTATTTGCATTTTTGTTTTAGTTTTCAGTCTAAACATCATCCACATTTTTTCTTAAATTTATTCCTAATGTTTAATATTTTATTAGTATTGTGAATAGGATTGATATTTACTTTCTTTTTTATTATTTTGGATAAATAGTTGTACATATTTATGGAGTACATGTAATATTTTAATACAAGTATACAGTGTGTAATGATCAAATCAGGATAATTTGGATATCTATCACCTCAAGTATTTATTATTACTTTGTGTTAAGAACATTCCAATTCTACTCTTTCATTGTTTTGAAGTATGCAATATACAATATAACAAACTATAACTATTTTCCTACTAGAACGTTAGATCTTATTTCTTCTATCTACTTATTTTACCCATTAACCCCTTACTTTCTATCTCCTTGCTCTCATTATTATCCTTCTCAGCCTCTGGTAATCATCATTCTGTTCTCTCATTCCATGAGTTTTTTTGTTTTGTTTTAGCTTTCATATAATGGTGAGAACATGTGATATTCCTCTTTCTGCATTTGGCTTTTTTCACTTAACATAATGGCTTCCAGTTCTATCCATGTTGTGGCAAAAGACAGGATTTTGTTTTTTTATGGCTAAATAATATTCCATTGTGTATATGTATCACATACTTTTAATTCATTCATCTGCTGATGATTCCATATCTTGGCTATTGTGACTAGTGTGTTGCAATAAACATGAAGGTGCAGATTTCCAGTCAATATATGGATCTTCTTTTGTGTACATGTGTGTGTGTGTGTGAGTGTGTGTGTGTGTGTGTGTGTGTGTGTATGTGTGTGCTTTCACATTAGCTCCATGTGATCGTATTTGTCCATTTTTGCTTTAGTTGTCTATGTTTTTGAGGTCTTACTCAGAAATCGTTGCCCAGATTAATGACCTGGAGTGTTCCCCAATGTTTTCTTGTGGTAGTTTCATAGTTTTAGGTCTTAGATTTAAGTCTTCAATCCATTTTGATTTGATTTTTGTATGTAGTGACTGATAGGGGGTCTAGATTTATTTTTCTATGTGTAGATACTCAGTTTCTTCAGCACCATTTCTTGACTTCCTTTCTTCAATATATATTTTTGGTGCTTTTGTCAAAAATGAGTTGACATTAAATGTACGGATTTATTTCTGAGTTCTGTTAATTTTATGTTGATTGCTATTCACTCTTGCTACTATATAACAATACAACTGATTTTTGTATATTTATTGTTTCTGCTGACTTTTCAAAACATGATTTTTAGAAGTGTTTTTTGTGGATTCCTTAGGATTTTGGGTGTAATTAATCACATTATCTGCATATAGGCACTGTAAAAAGAGCTAGGATTTTTTTGTTTGCTTTTTTAAAAATAAAACTTATCCTAATTTCTGGTGTCTTTCAGCAAGTTTCTTTTTTAATTTAATTTTTTTTCAATTTAGATACAGGGATTACAAGTGTATATTTGTTAAATGGACATATTTAATACTGGTATCTATTATTTCCATCTTTTTGTAGAACATGCACTGTTAGGTTTTCTGAGTCATTTCACTTATATTGATGTTCCCCAACTCCATCCATGTTGCTGCAAAGGACATGATTTTATTCTTTTTATGGCTGTACAGTATTCCATAGACATAAAAATGGACATTATAGACACTGAGGACACTAAAATGGTGGAGGTGGGAAGAGGAGCCAGGGTTCACTAACTAATGGGTAAAATATTCATTATCTGCAGAACAGGGATACCTGAAACCCAATTCCTCACCAGTATGAAATATGTCTGTGTAACAAATATGCACTTGTAACCCTGAATCTAAAACAAAAAAAAAATTTTTAAATTAAAAAATAAACTTGCTGAAAGAGACTAGAAATTAGAATTAGTTTTATTTTTAAACAAACAAACAAACAAAAAATCCTAGTTCTTTTATACTGGCTCCACATTGTCCTTCCAACCAACTGGAAGCATGAATTCAATGTTTTACGTTACCAAAAGCAGCAGTGATTCCAAACAAGTTACCACTTCATAAACATTCTTTTTCTAAATTCTAATAACATGATCTTTTTGGTTTTTGGAACTTGAATTTTATTTATTTATTTTTTTCTATTTTGATTCTGGGGAACATGTGCAGATTTGTTACATAGAAATGCTATATGATGGTGTGGCTTGGGCTTCTATTGAGCCTGTCACTCAGGTGGAAGACATGGTATTCAGTGGGTAGTTTTCAGCCCTTACTTCCTCTTCCTTACCCCCTTTAGGATTACACCAATGTCTGTTGTCTCCACCCATGCTCATACAGTGTTTAACTCTCCCCTGTTAGAGAGAAAATATGGTATTCTGTTTTCTGTTTTTGTGATAATTCCTTCAGGATGATGATCTCTAGCTGCATCCATGTGTGCAAAGGGCATGATTTTGTTCTTTAACAGTTATGTAGCATGCCATGATGTATATGTATCACATTTTCCTTATCCATTCTACCATTGCTGGACAACTAGGTTGATTGCATATTTTCACTATTGTGGATAGTGCTGTGATAAACATATGCATGCAGGTGCCTTTTTGGTAGAGTAATTTGTGTTCCTTTGGGTATATACATAGTAGTGGGACTGCTAGGTCAAGCAGTAAAATCTATTTTTAGTTGTTTGAGGAATCTCCAAACTGCTTTCCACAGGGCTTTAACTAGCTTGCATTCCTATCAACAGTGTAGAAGCATTGCCTTTTCTCTGCATCCTTGTCAGCATCTGTTGTTGACTTTTTCATAAAAGTCAGCCTGACTGTGAGACGATATCTCATTGTGGTTTTGCTTTGAGTTTCTCTGATGATTAGTGATGTTGAATATTTTTTTCATTTGTGTTGGCTGCTTGAATGTCTTCCACTGAGAAGTGTCTCTTCATGTCCTCTGCACACTTTTTAATGAGACGATTAGTTTTTCTCCTGCTGATTCATTTTAGCTCGTTGTAGATTCTGGATGTTAGATCTTTGTTGAATGCATAGTTTGCAAATATTTTCTCTCACTCTGTAGGCTGTCTGCTAACTTTTGCTGTGCAGAAGCTCTTGGGTCGACTTGGATTTTCTCTCTTCTCTTTTATGTTAACCAGATCAGGGTCTGTCAGGGTCTGTGATGCATTTAAAGAACCAGCTTTTCGATTCACATTCCTTTGTATTTTTTTAAATTTAGGTCTCCATTGCATTTATTTTGATTCTTATTTTGATCACTTCTTTTCTTCTGTTAGCTATGATTTTTAGTTTGTTCCTGACTTTCTCATTTCCTTAGCTGAGACTGTTAATTGGAGATCTTTCTGCTTTTGTGATGTGAGCTTGCAGTGCAATAAATTTTCCTCTCAGCACTTCTCTGACAGTGTCCCAAAGGTTTTTGTATGCTGTGTCCTCATTTTTATTTGTTTCAAATAATTTTTTAAAAATTTCTGTCTTGATTTCATTTTGTACCCCCAAATCATTCGGGAGCAAGTTGGTTAGTTTCTATGAGTTTGTGTGTTTGTGGGAACTCCTCTTGGTGTTGATTTCTAATTTTATTTCACTGTGGTCAGAATAGGAGCTTGGTATAACCTCAGTCTTCTGGAATTTATTCAAGACTGATTTATGTCTAAGTATGTAGTTGATCTTGGAGTATGATTCATGCACAGATTAGAAAAATGTATATTCTGTAGATGTGGGTTAGGTGTTCTGTATACATCTGTTAGCTCTAATTGACCTGTGCAAGGGTCAGGGGCCTAACGAACTCCACGCCGACTTCGGCAGTGCCTCAGCACAGGTAAGTCACAGAAACGTCCCCTTGACCACAACAGGATGGCTGGGGCCTGTGAGAATTTTCAATCACTTCTTCACTCATCACTTTACATGGGGAAGCTCCTTCTTTGTACTAGAACCAGGTCCCTGCCTGAGGGTTGTGTGGCTATATTTCTCTGCCTTTCATGGAGTCCATTGCTTTTCTGTTGAGTCCTAGAAGCAAGTGTCTCTATTGCCTGCTTTGAGTGTAGTTATTTTCTTCCTATTTCTGTTTTCTCACTGTGGGGGAGGTATATGCCAGAGGTTGCTTATCAGTCAGCTTGCTTCACCCCTACTAATGTGGTTTTAAACTGTTCTTGAATAGCACACCAACAGCTTTCCCAAGACAATATCAACATGTATTAATAGTCTTCAACGGTCTCCTAGAGGCCTTTCTACCTTCCATGCACCATCCAATTCCAAAGCTACTGCCACTTTTACATTCTTGTTACAGAAATATACAATATTAACTACCAATTTTTAAAATTATATATTGCTGTGTAAGAAAATGCTTCAGTTCTTAGTAACTTAAAACAATCATTTAGCTTTGCTCACAGTTTTGTTGTTCATAAATAGATAGTTGTATTGTGTCTCAATGCAATCAAATTCCATGCATATGATTTTCAAGGAGCGAATGAGAGAATTTGAGAATGAGAGATTCTAGGAATCAAATTTCCAAAAATAAGTAACTGAAAGTACCTAGTTAGAATCTGCAGGAAGACCATGGAAGTCTTAGAATATCAGTTCTGCACATTTTATTGGTCACTCAGACCACTAAAATCAACTTGGAGTCTAGGACAGAAGTAGTTGCTACTTCTCATTGGGAAATGGCATGTATGTGCATGGTTGGAAGCAATTAGTTGTTGCCAAAATAAAGACAAGTTAATGCAGTCATTAAAGTAGAAACAGCTTGAAAATACATTAAATTAAGTATACAACTTTAAACTTACTAATCTATTACTATATGGCATTAAATATAATATTTCCAGACACTAGAATGAATGAGAAACTATTTGTGACACAAGTCATTAAAAAAAAGGCAATTCAGATACTTCAATTATCTGTAAGTTTAAGGTTTTACATAAAGAAAATCTCCTAGTCCTAAGCCTTATTGGATATGCTAGCTAACTGCTGGTTTTCTCTAAAATCTATCTGCACTTTTATACTCTTCTTTGATCAATATTTCAGAAACCACATTCCCCAAGTTCCTTGATCTGCTGTCTTCCACTTAGGTTTGGTCAGTGGATACATTTGGAGGATTAAAGGAGTAAAATAGCTATGATATTCCTCCCCCTTCCTCTCCAGCATCTCCAACAATGGCTGTATATTCTCTATACCTCTAACTCATGCTGGACAGTACGTCTTCCTGTGGTCCAGATTCCACTATGTAACTCTGACCATAGTTACGTCATGCTAGATAGCCCAGATTCAGTCTCTAGTAATACCATCTCTTTTAATTGTCCCTACAACCCTAAAAACTGGTAGTAGTTTCTTAGGTTGCCTCACCAGTCTCTGATTGGCTTTTCGTCTCTACCATTAAGTGTTACCTGATGCATTATATTGAATGCCTTCCAACTGAAAGACTAAAGTGATTTCTACTTTATGCTTTGCCTCTGACTGAAATCACTTATGTATAACTTATGTGACATATGTTATAAAAATTATTCTGTAAATAATGCATACTCATATATGGTTTATTATTTAATGTCTAAATATAATATATATGAATTGGTAGAAAAAATATTTATTTTATTAAATAACAAATTAAACTTGTTATTAACACTTACCAGGGTTGGATATGTCAGGTATATCGTCAGCACCAGTGGATGGAGTTTTGTCAGGTATGTTGATACTATTAGGTGGAAAATTGCCACTGTCAATACTCCCACCAGGCCATGCATTAAATTCAACTTGGCAATTTGGGGGTAAGTATGAAGGGAAACAGTGACAGTTCTTTCTGTTATTGCATACCTAAAGGCAAGAGAAATATCACCTTATAAAGCAGCTAGGATTATATGTGTTCAAATAGAATTATAAAATAATACCCATGTCAGATAAGGACAATTTTCATATGTGTTTTATGGGGTATGTGTTGAGTGTGCATGCACATGTGTGAACAGGCACATGTGTCTGTGTGTGTGGCAATGTATTTGCTTTCCTGGGATTAGTCTCAATGATTTCTATTTTCAGCTCATGGCACTAGTACTTACACCCTGACGGTTGCATTTTTCTTCAGTACAATCATAGCCCAAGTATGCAGAATCCACACATTGCTTATTCCTGCAAACCTAAAAAGAATCAGTCAAAATGAGTTAACTGATGTGCTATCTAGATTTGCCATTTCATTAAAAATTCCACACTACACTAATATAAAATGTTTTCATTTAACAATAAATATCAGTGTACTAAAGATAAATAATAATTTATAGTGCTATTGTGTTTCCAGCAAAGATGAGACTCAGATTATCTTGGAGTATTTGAAACAATAACAGCATCTTTCCTGCTTATACTGGGGTAGGAAGTACAAATATAAAATAAGCAAAACACGTAAGTATGTGATAAATGTGATTATGAAAATAGATGGATTTATGACAAACATAAAATGTAGGACCTTTATCTACTGTTTGAGAATAATAAAACCTTCTCATTGAGTCCTGATGGTGAATAGGACTTAACTGGCATAGAAATAAAAGACAGAATACTTAGTTTTTTAAAAGACGTAATTTTAAAAATGATGTTAGTATAGAAGATAGTATGGAACTTTTGAGAAATATATATGGCAATGTGGCCATTACAGAAATAGTCATTCAATTATTCACTAAATAAGTATTTGAGCCCTATCTGACCCTGAGGAGACACCAGGGAACAACACAAATCCCATCTTGTTCATATAGTCGTAAAAGAGATAGAAACAAACAGTAAAAGCTAGATGTTATATGAGAGAAGATATCATTGACAGAATGGTGTAGAATCTTACAGTCTTCATGACAAATTTGACCTTCTCCTACACACAATTTGCTGTATTTAGTTATTGGAAGAAAGAAAGCTAATAACACTAGGTTTTAGAGAAAAGATATTGGAAGCGGCAAGAGACTGTAGATAGAATGTTAGAATACCATTACAGCAACCCAAAAAGATATAGAGTGAAGCTGAGTGATAGTGGACACCAGTAGATGTGCTGAATTTGAGATAATAGTTTACAAGTTTAAACATGCTGTGTTGAATTAATATAAATTCTATGTAGAAAGTTTAAAAAGATGGCTCAATGACAGCAAACATTCTGACTTGCTGAATTCTCTTAGTAGTTGTTAAATTAACTGAGATAAGGACAGTTAAGCATAAGACACACAAGTTTAGAGATTATTTTCAGAGATTTCTTTCAACCTATATTAAATAATACTATGCTTCACATTAGGAAAAAGTCTTTAATGCACTCATAGAAAGGCTCAAAGTGACTGATGGTAAACCAAAGAACATGCAACTGGAAATACTTTTATGTAAAAAGTTTGCTAAAGGATTTTTTCTTCTTAAATATATGATCATAACATTAATTTTTAAAGTCAGAGAGTACACTTGTCCACATAGTTCTTGTTCAATGTCATTGAGTATGGAAAAAATAATTAAGGCAATACATACCTCTGTTTAAGTTTTAGGAGAAAATAGACTCATGATAAGTAGATGGCCAGATTTTTTGGGTGGTTTTGGTAGTAATATAAAAGTAATAGCTCTGGATACAGACTAAAGCTACTATAGTTAGAAATTTATCTGTTGTTAACATGATTTTTGGACACTAAATTAAAATTTAAGCAGAGAAGTTAGTATATAATTCACAAAGCATTGTCCAGAAAAGGATAAATCTAAATTTCAGAGTCATTAAATAAATTATTCGAACCAGAGAAGACAGAAGTTGAGAAGGAGTTATTGGTATTGCAGGTATACTTTTTCTATAGTGGAGTTTGTGTTGCATTTTTGTTTGTTTTGCTTTAAGATGTCTGGGCAGAGTGCTTGCTTTGTTTGTTTGTTTTTTTAAGATGTGGGGTACAATTCAGGGTTAAGTATACAAACATTGATTATGCAGGTACCCTTGTTGATGAGGTATGCCCCTCCCTCCCCTAGTTTCCCTCAACTGCCAATCCCACCTCCCCCTCCCCTGACAGTTTCCCATTACTGCCAAGAGCTTTCTTATAGTATTGCAATTGTTCCAGATCCACTTATGAGTGAGAACATATGGTACTCTGTTCATTGTTTCTGTGATAGATCACTGAGTATAATCGACAGATACCATCTAACTCCAGTAAGAATAGCCATTAATAAAACAAACAACAACAGAGTGCTTGCTTTGGTTGCACCATGCAGGAGGGTTAGGGAGAAATGTCATTGAAAGTAAGAAGCTAGTTACAAGGCCATAAGAGTTGTTCATAATCATATAAAGGTAATATGTAAATAATCCAATGACTCGTTACCAAACTCTAAAACAGAATTATTTTTATGTGTTTTGTGATAATCATAATGCAGAATGATTTTGACACTAGGCAGAATAAGTTTCTATGGAAACCTTCTTGTATGGAGAGACTAAAGTGCTAAATAAAATAACAAAATTTGTACATATTCTTTTTAAAGACACAGTTGTACTGGAGAAAAAAGTAAAAGTCATTTTTAGGTTCAGAAAATGTGAGACAATGTGATTACTTAAAAGTAATCAAACACTAAAGACAGCATACCACCAGTGGCCACCACTGGCCAAAAATTTAAGATTTAAATGACCATGTGCATCTGATACCAATGACAAAGTTACAAGCAGGTTATATCAAATCCTTAATAAATAGTCTAGAGAATGACATCAGCAAAATGGTGACACAGAAAACAAAACATGGCTGAAATAATGTTATAGGAGTTCTGACAACAGCCAAAAGTCTATAGAACCAAGAAAATACTCAAGAACACTTTGTCACAATAAAAATGGTAAAAAACTTGTTGGCATTTTTGTTTACCATTTCCACAATCCTTCTCCGGCATGGAACAGTCTTGGTCTGGAAGAAGTAGCAGCTAAATTTCCAATCCCCTCTGTCAAACCGGAAGAAACAGAAAAGACCTCACGAGCAACATTCTAACTTGTCTGGTGAGTGTCCTAAGTTCTGGTCTCTGATTGGCCTAGCTCTAATCTCAGATGAAGAGAAGCAGGGAAGCTAAGACTTGCAGACACCTGGGACAGGAAATTAAGAGTGGAGACATATGATAGACCATCTAAGGAGCCAAGGGCAAGGTAGAATGGGACTATTTGGAAAATAATGCATTTTAAATCTGCTACGTGTTTGAGGAAATGAAAAAGTCACGCACAAGTCTAGGAAAGATATGTGCTCAGATGCTCAGAAAGGACATTTTGTTCAGGCTGACACCAAAGCATTTCCCCAGAACAGAGCCAGTCTGCAAACACTGGACAAAATGGTAGGTTTTTTTTTAATTGCCCAATTTTCAAAAACAAAATCAAAAGTTACACACACATATACACAACAACAACAACACAGCAAAACATGATTCCCTCAAAGGAAGAAAACATAGTGACAGAAAGTTATTTTAATTTAACTTTACTAAATGTGCTTAAAGAGCTAAAGGGAAACAAAGAACTGTAGAAAATTAGGTCAAAGAATTGTAGAAAATCAGGAAAATGATATTGGAACAAAGTGAGAGTATCAACAAAGAGATAGAAAATACGAAAATTACCAAACAGAATTCTGGTGCCAAAAAATTACAATCACTGAATTTTTGAAATTTGTTAAATGAGTTCAAAAACATATTTGGGCAGGCAGAAGAAAAAAAATGAACTTGAAAGTAGGAAATTGAAGTTATGGAGTTTGAGGAGCAGAAAAAAGAAGGAAAAGAGAGTTACAGAGGGTTATCAGGCAGATCAATTATGGAAATCTCTGAAAGATATAAGAAAAAAAAGAGACAAAGAGATTATTTGAAGAAATAATGCCTGAAAACATCCCATTTTTGAAGATTTTAGGCTTATAAATCCTAGAAGCTCAATGACCTTCAAATAGGGTTAAAACAAAGAAACTCACATTTTGAGGCACAGTATAATCAAACTGTCAAAAGTGAAAATAAAGAGAAACTTGAATGCAGGAAGTGAAAAAGTGCAGTAGGCAAAGCTGTAAAGAAGAACAAATTTGTTATATAACTGATGTGACTTTGTCAATTCAAAATAGATTGTTATAATTTTAAGATGTAACATGTAATTTCAATTAAACTGTAAAGACAATATATATAGAACTCACACAAAAGAAAACAAGAAGGTAATCAAACTGTGTCTCTACAAAACATCAACTAAATACAAGAAAAGGCAGTAGTGGAAGAAATTAGAGACAAAAAAGTGATAAGAACTACAAAAAAAATCATAAAATGTAAAAAACAACTCCTATATCAGCAACTGTATTAATTTTAATGAATTAAACTCTCCAACCACATGACATCAATTGAGAGAATAGATTAAAAAATATGGGTCACCTATCTGCTGTCTTTAAACACTAACTTGATATGTAAGGCACAAACAAATTACAAGTAAAAAACAAAGCAAAACAAGCAAACAAAACACAGCTTCCATGCAAATAGTAACCAAAAAAGAACAGTCATGATAATAATATCAAACAAAATCAAGTTCTTAAATCAAGTACTGTTTCAAGAGACAAAGAAGGGCATTCTATATTGATAAATGGCTCAACATTACCAATAAAATATAAGCAATGATAAACAAAATGCGGTATAAAAATGCAATAAGATATTATTCAGTTTTAAAAAGGAATAAAAGACTGATTCATGTGACAACATGGGTGAAGTTTGAAAACAGCTAAGTTAAATAAGCTAGAGTCAAAATGATAGACTGTATTGACTCTAATTACAGGAGATAGAATATTTAAATTCATAGAGACAGAAAGCATCATAGTGTTTACCAGAGGCTCTGAGGAGGGGTCACTGGGGAGTTATTGTTTAATACAGAGTTTCAGTCTGGGATAATGAGAAAGTTTCTGAAGATGGAAAGTGGTGATAGTTGCAAAATAATGAGAATACCTTAGTGTCCCTGAACTATACATATAAAAATGATTATAGTGGTAAATTTTAAGTTATGCATATTTTACCATGAAAATAATGTCTATATCATATTCAGTGCTTTAGAGACTAGGATAAAAGGCAAAATTACCAAACTCATGTTTTGATAATAGTATATATTTTTACCCACTCCAAACATATCTTTTAAAATAGCATATTGAGTTATATGAGGAAAATACAGTACGAATGCATTGAATTTTTTTCCATGGTTGACAGCATGGGAGGGAGGTAAAGCAGAAAATTTATTTAAATACATACAATACAGCAATTAACAAAACAGAGAGCCTAGAAATAAATCCTAGCATACACAGTCAACTAATTTTGAACAAGACTACCAAGAAGATACAATGAGGAAAGGACAGTGTTTTCAATAAATGGTGCAAAAGAATCAAACTGGACCTTTATCTTACTCCATACACATACCAAAAAGAAAAAAAAAACCCTCACAAAACAGATTAGAGACCTAATTTAAAGACCTGAACTGTAAAACTCTTAGAAGAAAAAAATTGATGGAAAGACCCCTGGTATTGACCTTAACAATGAGTGTGTGGATATCACACTAAAAGCACATGGAATAAAGACAAACATAAACAAATGGGACTATATTAAACTAAACAGTTTCTGCATAGCATAGGAAACAATCAATAAAAAGAAAAAAATAATAGTGTGTTTTGGGGGAAAATATTTGCAAACCATATATCTGACAAGGGGTTAATATCCAAAATTTATAAAGAACACCCACAACTCAATAGCACATAAATAAATAAATAAACCTGATTAATATGAGGACATATGACATGAATAGACTAGACATTTCTTAAAAGAAGATATACAAATGGACAACAGGTAAATAAATAGGTGCTCGCTATTATTAATTATTGGTAAAGTGCAAATCAAAACCAAAATGAGACATCACCTCACGCCTATTAAGATAATGATAACAAAAAAGAAAAGAGATAGTGTTGGTAAGGATGTAGAGACAGGAAATCCTTATACACCATTGGTGGGAATGCAAATTGATATGGCCATTATGGAAAACGGTATCAAGGTCATTTAAAAAATAAAGGATAGAACTCCCATATGTCCCAGCAATTTCTTTGCTGGATATATACCCAAAGGAAGTGGAAAAACACCTTTTAGAAATATCTGCACTTTCATCTTTATTGGAACATTATTCACAATAGCCAAGATATGGAAATAATCACAGTGTTCATCAACAGATAAATGAAAAGAAAAACTGTAAATATCTGTCTCTCATCTATCTCTCATCAACCACCTATCATCTGTCTATCATCTATGTGTCTGTTGTGAACTATTATTCAGTCCTAAAAAAGAAGGGGGTACTGCCATTTGCTTGATATAGATGAATATCAAGGATATTAAGTGAAATAAGACAAACACAGAAAAAAATACTGCAAGCTCTCACTTATATGTGGAATCTTAAAAAAAAATTGAACACATAGAAACAGAAACTAGCTTGGTAGTTTCCAGGGGGCAGGGAATGGGAGAAAATAAGTAGTTCAAAATGTAATTATGTAGAATGAATAAGACCAGAGATCTAACACACAGCATAAAGCACAGAGAATATAGATAATAATATTGTATTGTATACTGAAAATTTGCAGAGAGAGTAAACTTTAGGTGCCTTTTCCACATATATGCACAAATATATACAAAAGGTAACTGTGAAAAATGCTGTATAGATTAATTTGCTTAAATGTAAATTTTACTGTACACATGTATATCACAGCAGTATACTGTATACATTAAATATATATGATTAAGAAATTAATAAAAATAATAAAGATATCCACTGTGAATAAAACACAATATAAGTCAAGTCAACCCAGACAGAAACAACTTAAATAACCTATAAAGCACATACATAATAAAAACTTTCACCATGACATATTCATCATCATAATATGAAATTTACATTTCATAATTAAAATTATTCCATAAGTACATAACTTTTATAAAATTTATTTTATTACAAAACTACTATTATTTTAAAATTAATAAAGGGATAGCCTCAAGGAACAGGGTGGTAAATATTCTACACTTTTGACCATTAAACTTGTCTATGGCTGGGGTTCTCTTTAAAGAATTCCATGTGGTGTTCCAGACCCAGACAAGTCACATTTCATTTCCATCAGCAGTGTAATATACTGGTTAATGTATATCTTCAGAGTTTTATTCTTTTAAATGTGTATCTCGCCTTACCTCTGTGGACAAAATATTTTCACGTCATATTTTATACTTACTAATTTCTACCTGAGTTTCCATATCAAAAATTCAAATATAGATTTTAAAAAATTCTTTGCTATGCTCCTGTTAGGAATAGCTGTGTACAATAGGAGGTGGTGTTTATAACTACTTTTTATACTTAGTCACTAATACCTAAGACTTGAGACAATACTTAAAGGAGCCAATATCTCTTTTGTCTTTATTGACAAAAGGAATTTTGAAATTTCTAATGATAACATGTTCATTCTAATCCAAATTAACATTTATATATGAGGTACTTACAAACAATGATGCTCTAATTTGCAGAATACATAAAATTGAGTGCTCAGCATACAGCTAGTTTGATCACTGTTTGGAGATTGTTAGCAATGTATGATATAGGTGAAGACAGAATTTTTGGTCACCATTTGGGTAACACCTCCCCAAGAACTCTACACAGCTCTTCTATCTCCATATCCTAGAATAGAAACTTCTCTGGTACCATTATGTACTGTATTTTTAATGATGAACAATAGCATGCCTTAAAGCTGCTGAAAGATATGTCTCCTTGATAGGGCATCACCTTTATCATGAATACTATGACAGAGTAGTGCCTGCCAAATATTAATCCTGTTCACTAGCTGTGGGGAATAAAAATGGCATGTCAGCCTTGATAGTTCATATTTCCTGTATGATTCCTTTCTCATGTAGCCTCTATTAGGCTGTTTAGAAACAACGGATGACTTAAAACTCAAGATAGTTTTGGAAATTCATTTGGTAAATATCTTCCAAGGGAAATTTTATGAAACCAAATTCATTATAAAGTTTTGTAAATGACTGAGATTTTGTGTAAGAGAGGGTGACAATTTTTTCATTTGTATATATTTTTACTTCCTAATTTTTTACATAAATGTTAGTAAGGGTTAGGTTGTAACAGAACTACAATTTGCATGGCAAATGTCTCCTTAATTAGCAAATAAAAATAAAATATTTTAAACATGATACATTAATGATATACAACTAAGATGTAAAAAAATGAGTAGGTTTCATTTATATTTGATTACAACCAAAGCGTATAAGTTTTTTTACTTACTCTTCTTTCACCAAAAGTATCTTCTGCTCCCCAGTCACCTATATTTTGCCTTTTCCTCTGTTCTTCAATAGGTAACATACTATATTTTTTTACTTATTAAGCCAGAGAGCCTTTATCATTTAAGGTTTGAACGTGACACCAATTTGGGCTTGTGCTACCTTGTATATTTATAAATATATAAATATTACATATCTCATATAATAGAAAAATCTAGGAAGATAAAAAATGTTGATACATACGCACAGGTACCATCCGAAATGACAAAATAGTAAAGGTGTGTAAAATAGTGGAATGCTTTTATAATAATATATTAGATAAACATCCTATATGTGTGTGCATATGTATATATTTCTTTATATGTATATACGCATGTAAATATATATATTTCTATACATACATATACTTATGTATACATATCATTACTGGAAGAGTCATGACAATGAAAAAAGTAATTATTTCTCAGATATATGATGTAGATTGATTTTTGTTTTACTCTGGATTTTTTATTATTTTCATCAGTACAATAGGCATACATCATTTTAACAGCTATTTTAAAATAATTATATCAAAAGGTAATTTATGACACAGAAGTATGTTCTGTGTAATATGAGATAATTTAATAAAATACAGTGAATGAACAATGTAATTTTAAATTCAGTAAATACACATAATTTTTATAAGAAAACTACTAAATAGCCAATAAAATATTCACAGTGATGTCATCTATGCATGATTGCAAACGATATTTTATTCATTTAAATTTATTTGTTTTCTAAATGTTCTATATTGAATGTGCACTTAAATTCTGGGAGAAAATATTAAGTATATATTATTTAAGAACAAATTTTAACATATTAGAAAATTATTTGGAAAGAAAAGACCACCTACCTTATTATTACCACAGACAGTTCCATCTTTTACCCACATCATTTCTTTTTTTCGATGATTATGGGGATATTCCAAAGCAACGCAAATTTTTCCAGTTATGTTGGCATAAATAATAGTGGCATTTGGAATTTTAATTATTTCTTCACTTTCATATTTACATATTAATTTTCCGCATTGCATATCACTAATTTGTCCATAAATGAAAATTATTAATTTTAACTTTAAGAAATGTTAGAATATTATTTCTAAAACAAATAGATTTAAATAACATATTCAAGATTTGCAAAAGGATATATACAATTAATTTTGAAACAGCAAAAAATACGAGAGCCTTGACTAAATTGCTAGTGATAACTGAATAACAATGAGCTATTTCTTAGTTAACCTAACTACTTTTCTTGTGATTCCTTCACTCTTTTCTGAGCCTTACACAAAATCAAGTCCAATCAAAAATAGTACATTTATCTACATATCAGTCTTAACCCTTTCCAACTTAACATTATGGGTCCCAAACTGACAAGATGTTGAAATTTGCACTCAGGAAACATTATATTCTATAAACATTAAAATAAAACTATTATGATACAACAGAATGACAGTGCTGTAACCCATAGAGAAAATCATAGAAGTCATCAGGAAATAAAGCAGCATTGCAACAAAAGAAGTATAGTACAACAGAAGACTGACTTTCCAACAACAATAAAAATTAAAAACCCAGAAGCATATTGAATGATATCTTTAAAGATGAAACAAAATATCTGTCATCTTCCCACTCTATATGTAAAAAAAAATCCTTTAAAGTGAGGTAATTGTATTTTCAGACAACAATTTTTAAACATGTGTTACTAGCAGTCCTGGAATAAAGAAAGTATAAACTCTTTATATTAAAGGAAACTTAGATAACAGCTTGTGGCACAAAGTACATGAAACTCCAACAGGTTAAGGAAGTTCCTTTCTAATCCTAGTGGGTGGGAGTGTTTTTTGTAGACTGGTGCTAGATTTTGTGATAAATCAGACCAAAATAAAGAAAATTGTGAAGATAAATCAAATATAGGAGCTCTATGAGAGAGAACAGGCGTAGGAAAATCATCAGTCTCCCAAACAAGTGTAAAACTAGGCCAGCTTGTAGAAAAAAAACATTTCAGGGACGTGAAAATTAATCAAAGGCGAACAAGAAATTGAGAAGAATTCCTTTATAACCAAATGTAATAACACCAGATAAGAATAGTGGGGGCTGTGGTCTACTTTCCCACGTCTGCTCTCATCCCCACTCCAAACTCAATACTGTCGTTTTTTCAGAGCAGGACTGGCCATGAAAATGAATAACTTCCAACAGCAGAGGAGTTTTTCTTGATTTGGTGCATAGGGAAAAAAGCATCACCCAGCAGCACTTTGAGTAAAAGTAGTAAACTCAGTAGGAAATGAATGGTAAAAAAAAAAATTCATTTCCTGCATTTTTCCTGCAAGAAATGTTAAAAGAAGTTCTTCTGACAGAAGGAAAATGATATGGTTCAGAAATTTATATCTACAAAAAGAAAAAAAAGCATCAGGAAATAAATAAATAAAAATGAATGTTCCTTTATTTTTCTTATTCTTAGTTAAACTAAAAGATAACTGTCTGCTTAAATAAATAATAGTAAGAACGTATTGGGTTTTTTAACATCTGTATAAGTAAAATGAATAGCAGTAATGTCACAAGGGACTGGATGGAGGATTTGGACACTATTATAGCACACCTACACTACACATGAAGCAGTATAGAGTTATTTTAAGATAGACTACTATTGCTACTTGAGCATGGTAAATATTAGTGCAACTATATAAACAATCGCTTTTAATGGGAACAGTCTAAACAACCAATTAAAATTCAGAGATTGTCAGAGTGGATACTAAAAGCAGATGGAAGGTTGGTTTGACATCTGAAAATCAATTAATGCAATATACAGCAATAGGATTAACTATAAAAACATAAAATTATGTCCTGTTGACATATAAGTTATCTACCATTATAAATAAAAGACATTTTTAAAAAAATGTTCATTCTTCAGAATTAAAAACTTCCAACAAATTGGAAGTAAAATAAACTGCCTTAAACAGGTAAACAGCATCTACAAAACCCTCCAACAAACAATAAATGTAATAGTGAAAAGCTGAATATTTTCCTACAAAATTGGGAATAAGCAAGTGTGTTCTCTCTCTTAACTGGAAAAGAATAATTTAAAATTGACTTGCAGATTAGATGACCCTAAATATAAATACTGAGAAAACACATACACACACACATGTTCAGGAAGGTCATACAAAAGATCAAGAGCAATATAAAAATAGTATTGGTATTTTCATTTTAATTATAAATCAGCAATGGGCAATGTGAAAATGAAATTTATAAAGTCATTTTGTTTACAGTAGTTTCAAAAATAGAATACTTAGATATATATATTTAACAACAGAAATACAATACTTGAACACTAAAAACTAGCAAACCTGGCTGAGAAAAATGATTGAAATAAATTGAGAGACATTCTATATTTATCAGTTGGAAATCCAACACTATTAGATGGCAATTCACCACACGACCCTCACCCCCACTGCTTTGTACACACATACAGAAAAATATATGTAGAACTGATGAAATTTGAATAAGATCTATGAGTTTGCTAATGGTAATTTCCTGGATAATATGTTTCAGGACAGAATCTAGAAATACATGCAGTTTAGGTAGGAAACTGTATTTCATCCACTGGAAAACAATAACAAGCACTCTAAATACATCACTTAAATTTGTCTCAACTGCTAAAAATTTACTAAGCATGAAGTAACATCTGTGCGCTTTTTGATTTATTTTAAATTAAGATTTTAAGGGTCAAAGTCATATTAATTAACAAAAATTAACACTAATTATATTCTGCAAATTATCACTATATATATCACTTAAGGTACTATATTCCATAGGTTAATGTGAACATCTGCCTAACAATAGTGCATGCCATATAGCATAAAAAATTTTTATTTGGTCCGTGTATCTTGTACCACATGACCATTGCTACATCAGAGGATTCAACAAACCAAGGGGCGGCAGGGGTGTCTAACCCTAGGTTAACTACGTAAGTTGACATAGACAACATATGGTGTCTAAATAACCACCTAATTACCAAAATCTCAGTGGTGATGAAAATCTAGATGTTTCAGAGCAATTTTTTATGACTTGACATTTTCTGTCTTTGACCAAAAAAGGAAAATTGAAATGAACAAGCCAGCCCCTGGTATTCAGGTGAAGACCAGGTATTATTAACAAGACCTTGGAGTTGATAAGTCACTCCGCACTCATGGTGCCCACCTGTTGAACATAAGTAATTTTACAGAACTTCAATTTAGGCAAAGAAACTTTGTGATCTGATTAGGAAAAGATTAGGAAAAAATTCAAGTCCACTTAGTAAATCATGTCCAAACACAGAGAGAAAAAATCCTAAACATTTATCTAAGCCACAAAATTACTATACATCCCCATTATTCAGCTATTATGCTGACTGCTGTTTCTTCAGCTGTATATTCACTTTAGTATTCCCTCTTAATATATAAATTAATTGAAATACACAATCATTTGATTATCTCCACTTCTTGAAAGCATCCAACTCAGAGCAAAGATCTGCTTCCAGAATCCTCCCTAAGTAATCACCTAACACAAGCACAAATCCTGCAGTAAGCCTAAAACTCTGGAAGTAAAACCGCTTCACAGTTTCCCATAATGTTCCTTCTCATTCAATACAACATGTAGTAAACCCAACTTGTTCGATTACAAACATGTTCCTGGTGACCTTTGGCTGAAAGACATTGTAGCAAAGTAGATCTGTAAGCCAAAACACACATAGACAGATACTTGGAATGCACCGGTATGTAACTAGACAGGAAATGAATGTGTAACTGGGCTTTAAAAATGGGATCTGTATCATGAGTTATTTTGCAGATGTGGTTTTTTAAGTAATTTATGAAAGCACATTCAATCTTATTAGCTTGAGTAATCAGAGGACAGAATTAAAAGATGGGCCTAACATCAGTTAGGTGACTAAAAATTTAGAGAGACTGAGCACCAAAATCAGTATATAAACTTCATCCTAAAACCTGGACAATTACTGAACTAAGCATATGTGGTGAAGAATCCAGAGAGCAAACAAAAAGCATCTTCCAGAGGCATAAGGAAATGAACAGTGCTTTCATTTGCTGCTCACAGACAGGTTTAAAGTTTGAGTCCACCTATGTTAAATCTTTTCCATAACACAATTCCATAACCTTCAGAAGGCATAAATGTCTACCATTTGTATCATGTATTATTCATAGTATACAGTATAAAGTAAAAAATGCTAGCTATGTGAAGAAAAAATAAAATTTGACATGGTCAAAGAGCTAGAAATCATTAGATACCATCATCAACACTTTAAAGCAGCTAATATTAAAATAATCAGTTATTTAAAGGAAAATATAAGAGCTAAAAGGTTTCTTTAGTCAGAATATGCTTAAGCAATTGTGAAACACATTTCTGTGTATGCTGGGCTTGAGTACATGAGAAAGCAACTTATAAACATACTAAGATATACTTTACTGTGTTTAATTGGAATTAGAACTATCACTATAAGTTCATGTCTTAAATATGAAGATTTAAATAAATGAAAATATAAATACATGATACATGTATGTGCATATATGATATGCATGTTCTACCTCTGTTGACTAAAAGGGCTGAGATGTAAGCACAAATAGTAAGCGTGAACACAGCTGGCACCTGGCTATTTCTTTTCTTTTCTTTTTTTAGTTGGAGTCTCACTCTGTCGCCCAGACTGGAGTGCAGTGGCTGCTCCCAGCCACCATAGCCTCGACCTGCTGGGCTCCAGCGATCCTTCCACTTCAGCCTTCCAAGTAGCTGGAACTACAGGCGCGCACTACCACGCCCGGCTAATTTTTTAAATTTATTGTAGAGATGAGGTCTCGCCAAGTTGCCCAGGCGGGTCTCAAACCTGTGGGCTCAGGCAATCCACTCACCTCAGCCTCCCAAAGCACGGGATTACAGGCTGAGCCACTGAGCCCGACTATTTTCTAATAACTGAACTCTCCTAAAAGGAAGAGGGGATCCTTGGATTAATAGCTAAATCCAGAGTAGGGGTATGAAAAGTATAAAATAAGTTTACAATATCTTTTCTTGTGTTAAAAATATTTGTAAGTTATTAAATAGTTAAACAGACTTTTGAAAAGGACATAGTAACAAACTCAAAGGAGTTCTCACCAGCCAAAACTGAGAGAAGTTGAGAAAATATCAAAGTAAATAATTACAGTAATATATTCTATTCCACTGAATAAAATAATTAATGAATCTGAAGTGATACAAATTAATACATACATAAGTAAATCATTAAACATAGAGAAGCAAATACTTCTTCCTACAGTAAATTTCTAGCTGATAAAGGAAAAGTCAAAAATGGGGTTAGATTATCACCAATGGATTTTAAATGTCGGTGAAAGTTTGAAGAGGAAGAGAATATATCAACAGTCTCAACATAACTCCCAAAAAGTTATATTCATAAGGAAAAATAGTTACATATTCATAAGGAAAGGGAAAAAAATAATAGCTTTACCTCACTAAGACACTTATAGAATAATAACTACCAAAACACTTAACCTAAAGTTTCCAATACGGAAAGAAGATGACATGTGCTTTTAAAAAAATCAAGAGTACAACATACTTTGGTGATAAACATGCCACATTGTGTAACTTGAATATAATTGTGAAAAAAAATCAAACAACCTAAATTGAGAGAAAGTTCTACAAAATAACTTGCAGTATTGCTTTAAAAAACTAAAAAAAAAGATTTAAGATCCAGATTAAAAGATCTTAAAAATACATTATGAATAAATGAAAATATCTGACTCTGGATTTGTTCCAGAACAAGGAGAAACTCTATAAATACTCTATAAACACTCTATTGGGGCAACCAATGAAATTTATATATGAATTATATTTGAGATATAGCTACAATACAGTTACATAAGAAAATATGTTCATTCTCAATAGAAACATACTGATTTTTGAGGAGTAAAGAAGTACAATCTTCAAATTATACTCAAATGGTTCAGAAAAATAATTATGAAGAGAGGAAAACAGAAAAGAGTCAGAACAATAGAAGGGCAATATGGGCAATATGTAAACAATTGGTAAATCTAGGTGAAAGGCATATGAGGATTCCTTGCACTATTCATGCAAACCAGCAATCCTCTAAAGAATTTTTACGTTAACTTTTGAAATAATATCAAACAAAATTTTATACCAGAAGAGTGGGTCTCAGTAACATTCTAGTTTTAATTTCTATATAATAGTAATAACTTATAGTTAACACTAATATAGAGCATACTGTGTATCAGTTATCATACTAAGTATTCTCCATATAGTATCTATATTCTACAGTGGCACCAAACCAATGATGTTAGCATATTAATATTCATGTTTTACTTATGAGAAAACTGAAGGACATGCTTAAGTTCATACAAATAGGTCAACAGTGGGGTTAAGATTTAAAACCCAGATTTTTGGCTGTAAAATACATGTTCTTAAACACTATGCTTTTCTTCTTAGATAGTAACAATCCATGTATTTTCATTTTATCACCATAAGGACTGTTATTATCTGTAAAATTAGGGTGATATCATACAAAAAACTATTACCAATGGGTAATTAATGTGCATATATGTAAATCAGGTACTTTGTGGGAAAGTATAAAGGATAATTTGGGTGCACTGCGAAAAGGAATACAAACTACTGTGTTCATAGCATTTATAATTTGTTTAAACATGAACTTATTTTATGATCAGGTAATATTTTGTTTACATATACACTTAATTGGTGATATTTTGAAATATAAGGCAATAAATAGAGAGTCTCAGATAGATTTCTTAAAGCATACTTAGGGCCACATTTTGTGTATCCTGAAGGACCTGAACCACAGTTTCCAGATTGATCGGTCTTAGAGTTAAGATGAGAAAAACATTCCCCAGGACCAAATGTTGTTCCTGAAAAAAAGGTGTGGTTAGTCATATTAATTCAAAATAAGATCATACAAAATAAGATCATGCTAGAACATTCAAAATGAAAACTAGACTTAAAATCACACAAAACCACTTCAATAAAATATTTAAATATTTAAAAGACTCTTGTCTTCCATTTATACACATATTCTAGAATTAGATACTGTATGCAGTTTAACTTCTAATTTTAGTAAGTCTATAAATACTTATCTATAAAAAACCTTTTTTTCAAATAGTTGATTTATTGGTTAATAAACAGTTTTTACATGCATGTCTTTTCAAGTCAACCCACTAACCAATTATCTTATTTTTTCATCATAATTTTCCCAGAGCAAAATATCTTGGAGACAACTGATTCATTTTTCACTTTTACCATCCAATCCTCAAGGCCATGTCTTGATTCTAAACATGTGTAAGGCACGAGATCAAAATATAAGATGATTTCCAAAGCAGAGCATATTTTTCGACAGTCTCTGTGTTATGGTTTTACACCTGCTAGGGTAAGGGGTCTAGATCAAACTCTCAATTAAAAACCCTAGAGAGCTTTGCTCTAGAAACAAAACTGAACTAGATGTAGACTGAGCCTTCTCTAAACTCTAACCAATTCTGAACAAATCGCAATTTCTGATTTAATTTTAGTCTTTCATTTCATATGCCCTGCAGAAGACAAAGATGAAGAGTATCTGCATGAGAAGAACATTTAGACTGAAAATCATGTTTTTAAAAGGCAATATTGAAATATAAAATATAATAGAGTAATTTTTAGCAAGAAATATGTCTTCATCTAAAATAGCATTTAAGAATATAACATAGGCCACACAGGTGTCCCAGATCAGAGCAGCACTTCAGACTACCTGATCTTACTTTGAACTTTGTGAACTTGCAGTCAAAACAGTTCTATCAAATATATCCAGGAATCACAGGAGACCAAAACATGGTTCAAAAAGAATTATAAATTTTAGTCTTTGTTCTGTATGGGTTTACAGTTGGGTCAAGCAAAATGAGGGCACTTTTTAGTCTCAAATTAAAAAATAGACTGACTCAACCACAAAAAGGTCATACTTAGCACTGAAAATCACTAAAAAATACAAGATGCCCACAGGACTGATCGGTGTATGAGAGTCTCCACAAAAGTGAGTGTCCATAAAGACTCTGTGTGAGTGGGTGTGTGCTAGTGTGAGTGAAAATCCGTGAGGGTAGACTCGCGTTCATGCACCTGGAGCTCTCCTCCGGAGGTGACTGCAACCCACCACTGTCCTAAGATTGGACCCTCAGTGAGCAGGATTGTCTACCATTCTCAGGGCTCTCTTGAGAGGAAGCAGAATAGAACAGCTGCCCCTCATCTGGCACCCAACCCATGCCATCACCTGCGGCAGCAGGCCAGGCACTTAACAGTAGGGCCCATGGAGGAGGCAAGGCATGGAAATCTGGAACGAAGCCCTGCCACCAGTGAGGAAACACCAACTGGTACCATCTTCTTGGTCCCAGGTAGGCAGAGACCTGCATTGCCCCACCCAGCTCTGTCCAGCCTCCAACCTGAGACTCCGAGGCTCTATCCCCACACCCATCTGTGATCAATCATCAGACTCAGAGAGGCAGGTGCCCCTTCCACAAGCTGGACCAGGCACAGAAACGTGTGATCTTGATAGCAGCAGAGACTCGATAGCCGCAGCAGCAGACGAGTCAGGTGAGTCTCGATCTGATCCCTCCTCCTCCCACAGTAGTCTGTGCGAAGACGTCTGACCCATGCTGACAGCAACCTTATCAGCCTGCGCAGAGAACAGAGGGGACAGGCTGCAGATGGGAGCTGCTCCCTAACGTGGCAGCAGCCAGAAGTGGTGGCAGCTGGAAGTGGTGGCAGCCAAAAGCAGCGGCAGTGCTTGGGAAAGAAACCTGGAGTTACAGAAACGGCCAAAGAGCAAACTTTTGTTTTGTTTTGTTTTTGTTTTCTCTCTTTTATCTTTTTCGGTGGAATGTTTTTGTTTGCATTCTCGTTCTTGCTTTGTTTGTTTCTGTTCTGGCTACCGGCCACTGCAACCTCGACCTGCTAGACTCCGGCGATCCTTCCGTCTCAGCCTTCCAAGTAGCTGGAACTACAGGCGTGAGCTACCACTGCGGCTAATTTTTTATTTATTGTAGCGATGTGGTCTCGCCAAGTTGCCCAGGCGGGTCTCGAACCTGGCGGGCTCAGGCAATCCACTCACCTCAGCCTGCCAAAGTGCTGGGATTACAGGCTGAGCCACCGAGCCCAGCTGTGTATGAATATTTTTGAGGAAAAGTACATCAACAGGGTTTTTTGTCTGTTTGTTTGCATGGCTGCATGGGTGTTTTTTTTTTCCCCCTGTCTTTGTTTCTCTGTTTATTCATTAGTTGGTGCACCTGTCTGTTTTGCCTAGACTTCTTCTCTCACTTCATCTTCCTTTCATCGTCCTCCTTCCTTTTTCCATTCTTTTTCTTCTTCTTATCTTATTTTCTTTTCAAGGGGCAAACATACAACCCCACTGCATGGACAGATTGTAAGGTGGTGGGAAGTGGGTTCCAGGAAGCACACACACCTGTCAGTGGATACTGGGATCTTCAGATAGCTTCTGAATCACAGCTCCTCCCTTAATCAAATTTCAAAACTGCAAAAAAGCACAGCCCCCCACTTCCAGTCCAGCTTCAAAACTGAACAAAGCCAGAGAATCTACATAAAGAGGAATAGGAGATTGAGCAAAAAGAAGAGAAAGTTATTCCCCCATCACTGAACAACAGAATTAAAGAAGAGGTAAAACATATACAGTTCCAGGCCCAAATGCCTTACTAGAAAATTTTATCAAACATCCAAGGAAGAAATGATATCAATGTTACACAAACTTTTATGGACTATAGTGGAGAATGAAGCACTTCTAAAATGTCAACCATCTCCTTGTACCAAAACCTGACAAAGAAATTCAAGAAATAAATCTGCATTCACTATTTCTCATAAGTGGAAGGCAAATAATCTTCAAATAACCCACTTTAGTGTTTGTTTTCTTATTCTATTATTTTGTTACTGTGTTATTTTTCATTCTTTTGAATTAATCAATTTTTTAAAAAAGTCCTCCTTTTATTAGGCTTAGTTTTACATTATTTTATTAGTCTTTGTGTGGTTATCTTTTATTATAACATGAATATTTGACTTATCCCAATTTAATATAACTCAATACTTTTACCATTTACCTTATTATTTCTGTTAAAATTAAGTCTACTTTTAGTACTTATAAGGTTAAATATAATTTTACTTTTTAAAGTCGTTCTCTCCATGTGGGGTCTAGAGCATTTCTTGAATGAGTTGTATGACATTCTTCTTAGTTTTTGGAAATATGTCACCTATCATCTTTCCAAATACATATTCAGCCACATTCTCTAAACATTTTCCATCTGGAACCTAATATGTTAGAATGTTTCCAATATACTCAACATATTTTTATGACCTTTTCTGCAATTGTCTTTCTTTGGCTTCTATATGCCTCAATCTATATGTTTTCTTCAGATCTATAGTTTATTTGAAAGATATTCTACTGCCATGTGATTAATATGCTTAAGAACTCATTCCAGTTTTTCACTTTATTTTTCTTTCTATTTGTAATTTAATGTCTTATGTTGACATATACAGTTGTATAAGTCAAAACAGTGTGATGTTTTGACCTATATGTATACATTGCGGAATTATTCAATTTATGTTTTCTTAATTTTAGTTTTAAAATTTTGTATTTTATAGTTATCATTTCTAAAAACCATCATGGGATATGTTTAATAGTATCTAGGTCTCTTTGGATAATCTTTCAACTTTTTATTTAATTTCTTCAATATATTTATCATTTGTTTTAACTCATGTCTCATAACTCTAATCCCCTAATTTCCTGTACTTCCACTTATTTTGTTGTGTCACTCTCTTCTGCAGTTTGTATGTATTTTGCTATTTAGTTATTTGGGACATCATGTAAAAATGTTAAAGATGGTTTAATCTACCTCAAGATAAAATTTACATTTGCTTCTAGCAGGTATCAAGAATAAAAGCAGATCACTTTAATCCAGTTAGGAGTTAAGCTGACTGAAAACTGAGGTTCAGTCTTTATAAAACATAGTCTATCTCCAGGTCACATTTTTCCTATGGCAGTCCTCGATGGCTCATGTAGGATATTGATTAGGACTCTTTTTTTCCCATAGACTGACCTCCAAACTCTGTCTTCCAAGTCCTGTAAAACTGCTGAATGTTCTGTTCAGTTTTTCAGCTGTTCAGCTAACAGTATTTGCTCACCTAGCTTTTCTATCAGCTATTTCTTTAAGGTAACAAATGTCTCAAGGAACAAAGATAAAATATTGCTCTGACTTCCCTGAGCTTTCTCTCAATTCTTTGGTGGTTCTGCAACATACTTAAGTAAAAATTCTAATTATTTTGCCTACTTTTGATAGTTGTTCTCATTAAGAGATTTTGTCTGGACCAAACTAATCAGCCACTGCAGAAGGAAAGTCCATCTTTTGCTATCATTTGTTTTGATGATATCTATTTTTAAGTAGTCTTATTTAGAGAGCTATTACTAAAATACAGTTCATCACAATATTTTTTAATTGATGGAAGACTATCATCATAATCTTCTAAAGAAATTTAGAAAATTTGGTGTTCAGGAAGATGGCAGCAGAACTGTTGTGAGTACACGAATGTCTGTGTAAGTGTGTGGAAGGGCAAGAGAGTATATGAATTGAAGTATAACTGGTATGTACAAGTGTCTGTCTGAGGGAGAACTCAGAAGTGATGGCAGGGGCTCTTCCCACAGTGCTACCACCACTGATGCTGCTGGGACCCTGGTATTCCCCTTGGTGAACAATCCAGCAACATGTTCCAAAAACAGGAAGGTCCTCCTGGAGAGGAAACTGCAGAGAACAGCCACTACCCAGTACCTGGATTCACCACCACCACTGCCACTTTCAGCACCAAGCCAGAATGCAAGGCCCCACCATCA